AGCCCCCTCGCCCCTCCCTCTGCCATCATAGCCCCCAATGCCCCTCCCCTCCAGCGCAGCCCCCCACCCCTCCCTCTGCCATCGCAGCCCCCAATGCCCCAGTGCAGCCCCCCACGCCCCTCCCTCTGCCATCACAGCCCCAATGCCCCAGCGCAGCCCCCCCACGCCCCTCCCTCTGCCATCATAGCCCCCAATGCCCCAGCGCAGCCCCCCCACCCCTCCCTCTGCCATCGCAGCCCCCAATGCCCCCCTCAGCGCAGCCCCCCCACCCCTCCCCTGCCATCACAGCCCCCAATGCCCCTCCCCTCCCTCTGCCATCACAGCCCCAATGCCCCAGCGCAGCCCCCCATGCCCCTCCCTCTGCCATCACAGCCCCCAATGCCCCTCCCCTCCAGCGCAGCCCCCACCCCTCCCTCTTCCATCGCAGCCCCCAATGCCCCAGCGCAGCCCCCCCCCCCCCCACGCCCCCCCCCCCCTCCCTCTGCCATCGCAGCCCCCAATGCCCCAGTGCAGCCCCCCACCCCTCCCTCTGCCATCGCAGCCCCCAATGCCCCCCCCCAGCGCAGCCCCCCCACCACTCCCTCTGCCATCACAGCCCCCAATGCCCCAGCGCAGCCCCCCACGCCCCTCCCTCTGCCATCACAGCCCCCAATGCCTCAGCGCAGCCCCCTCGCCCCTCCCTCTGCCATCATAGCCCCCAATGCCCCCCCCCCCCTCCAGCGCAGCCCCCCACCCCTCCCTCTGCCAGCGCAGCCCCCAATGCCCCAGCGCAGCCCCCCCACCCCTCCCTCTGCCATCACAGCCCCAATGCCCCCCCCTCCAGCGCAGCCCCCCACGCCCCTCCCTCTGCCATCATAGCCCCCAATGCCCCAGCGCAGCCCCCCACCCCTCCCCCTGCCATCGCAGCCCCCAATGCCCCAGCGCAGCCCCCCCCCCCCCCCCCCCCTGCCATCACAGCCCCCAATGCCCCTCCCTCCCTCTGCCATCACAGCCCCCAATGCCCCAGCGCAGCCCCCCAGGCCCCTCCCTCTGCCATCACAGCCCCCAATGCCCCAGCGCAGCCCCCCACGCCCCTCCCTCTGCCATCGCAGCCCCCAGTGCCCCTCCCCTCCAGCGCAGCCCCCGCACCCCTCACTCTGCCATCATAGCCCCCAATGCCCCAGCGCAGCCCCCCACCCCTCCCTCTGCCAGCGCAGCCCCCAATGCCCCCCCTCCAGCGCAGCCCCCCCACCCCCTCCCCCTGCCATCACAGCCCCCAATGCCCCTCCCCCTCCCTCTGCCATCACAGCCCCCAATGCCCCCCCTCCAGCGCAGCCCCCCCACCACTCCCTCTGCCATCACAACCCCCAATGCCCCAGCGCAGCCCCCCACGCCCCTCCCTCTGCCATCACAGCCCCAATGCCCCAGCGCAGCCCCCCATGCCCCTCCCTCTGCCATCACAGCCCCCAATGCCCCAGCGCAGCCCCCCTCGCCCCTCCCTCTGCCATCATAGCCCCCAATGCCCCTCCCCTCCAGCGCAGCCCCCCACCCCTCCCTCTTCCAGCGCAGCCCCAATGCCCCAGCGCAGCCCCCCCACGCCCTCCCTCTGCCATCGCAGCCCCCAATGCCCCTCCCCTCCAGCGCAGCCCCGCCACCCCCTCCCCTCTGCCATCGCAGCCCCCAATGTCCCAGCGCAGCCCCCCACCCCCTCCCTCTGCCATCGCAGCCCCCAATGCCCCAGCGCAGCCCCCCACGCCCTCCCTCTGCCATCGCAGCCCCCAATGCCCCCCTCCAGCGCAGCCCCCCCCCGCCCCCTCCCTCTGCCATCGCAGTCCCCAATGCCCCTCCCCTCCAGCGCAGCCCCCCCCCCCCTCCCTCTGCCATCGCAGCCCCCAATGCCCCAGTGCAGCCCCCCCACCCCCTCCCTCTGCCATCGCAGCCCTCAATGCCCCAGCGCAGCCCCCCCACCACTCCCTCTGCCATCACAGCCCCCAATGCCCCAGCGCAGCCCCCCACGCCCCTCCCTCTGCCATCATAGCCCCCAATGCCCCAGCGCAGCCCCCCGCCCCCCTCCCTCTGCCATCATAGCCCCCAATGCCCCTCCCCTCCAGCGCAGCCCCCTCCCCCTCCCTCTGCCATCGCAGTCCCCAATGCCCCAGCTTAGCCCCCCACGCCCCTCCCTCTGCCATCGCAGCCCCCAATGCCCCAGCGCAGCCCCCCCCCCCCCCCTCCCTCTGCCATCGCAGCCCCCAATGCCCCAGTGCAGCCCCCCCACCCCCTCCCTCTGCCATCGCAGCCCCCAATGCCCCAGCGCAGCCCCCCCGCCCCTCCCTCTGCCATCACAGCCCCAATGCCCCAGCGCAGCCCCCCCACGCCCCTCCCTCTGCCATCATAGCCCCCAATGCCCCTCCCCTCCAGCGCAGCCCCCCCACCCCTCCCTCTGCCATCGCAGTCCCCAATGCCCCAGCTTAGCCCCCCACGCCCCTCCCTCTGCCATCGCAGCCCCCAATGCCCCAGCGCAGCCCCCCCACCCCTCCCTCTGCCATCGCAGCCCCAATGCCCCCCTCCAGCGCAGCCCCCCACCCCTCCCTCTGCCCCCCTCCCCCCCCCCCCCCCCCCCCCCCCCCCCCCCCCCCCCCCCCCCACCCCCCCCCCCCCCCCCCCCCCCCCCCCCCCCCCCTCTGCCAGCGCAGCCCCAATGCCCCAGTGCAGCCCCCCACGCCCCTCCCTCTGCCATCACAGCCCCAATGCCCCAGCGCAGCCCCCCACGCCCCTCCCTCTGCCATCATAGCCCCCAATGCCCCTCCCCTCCAGCGCAGCCCCCCTCCCCTCCCTCTGCCATCGCAGTCCCCAATGCCCCAGCTTAGCCCCCCACGCCCCTCCCTCTGCCATCGCAGCCCCCAATGCCCCAGCGCAGCCCCCCCACCCCTCCCTCTGCCATCGCAGCCCCCAATGCCCCAGCGCAGCCCCCCCACCCCTCCCTCTGCCATCGCAGCCCCCAATGCCCCAGCGCAGCCCCCCACCCCTCCCTCTGCCATCACAGCCCCAATGCCCCAGCGCAGCCCCCCACCCCTCCCTCTGCCATCATAGCCCCAATGCCCCTCCCCTCCAGCTCAGCCCCCCACCCCCTCCCTCTGCCATCGCAGCCCCCAATGCCCCAGCGCAGCCCCCCCCCCCCTCCCTCTGCCATCGCAGCCCCCAATGCCCCAGCGCAGCCCCCCACGCCCCTCCCTCTGCCATCACAGCCCCAATGCCCCAGCTTAGCCCCCCACGCCCCTCCCTCTGCCATCGCAGTCCCCAATGCCCCAGCGCAGCCCCCCACGCCCCTCCTACTCCCATCGCAGCCCCAATGCCCCTCCCCCACCAGTGCAGCTCCCCAAAGCCGGGGCGCTGTGCGCGGAGGCTCCCCGCCCCACCTGAGGGCACATAGTCCTCGTCTTCGGCGGAGGAATACTCCTCCGAGCCCGACATGCTGTCGGCCGGGGCCGCCGGTTCCAAGCTAGCCACTCAGCACCAGAGAGACGTGACAACGCAGGCTAGAGCGCCCTCCGCGATTCGCGCCCGAGCTACAGACTCAAGGGGGAGCGGCTAGAGCGCCCGCCGGTGCTCGCGGCCGTGGGAGGGGTACCATATAGCCACGCATCGGAACGCTTAGAGCGCCCTCTTGCGATTGGGGGCACCATAGAGCTGGGGGCTAGAGCGTCTCGAGGGGCACTTGGAGGGACGGAACATCCGGCGGTAGCGGGATGCGGAAGTGGCTTTTCCGCTGGGCGGCGCTCTGTCCGAAAGAAGCACCGGGCGGCTGCTGGGACCAATACGTCCTAGCATGTGTTGCGCGGCCGCCCTGCCCCCGTCGGTACCGTACATCTGTGAGGGCTGTAGTTCCTAGGGACTCGTCAGCCCTGACAGCTGTGCGCTTTCCTGTGAGCCGGACGCCTGGGTTCTGTGCCCAGCTCCGGGAAGGGGGTGGGGTCCGGTGGTAAGGCAGGTGGCCGTGAGCCGGACGCCTGGGTTCTGTGCCCAGCTCCGGGAAGGGGGTGGGGTCCGGTGGATTAAAGCAGGTGGCCGTGAGCCGGACGCCTGGGTTCTGTGCCCAGCTCCGGGAAGGGGGTGGGGTCCGGTGGATTAAAGCAGGTGGCCGTGAGCCGGACGCCTGGGTTCTGTGCCCAGCTCCGGGAAGGGGGTGGGGTCCGGTGGATTAAAGCAGGTGGCCGTGAGCCGGACGCCTGGGTTCTGTGCCCAGCTCTGTCGCTGTCTTCTTCAGAGGCTATGGGCAGGTGACTTTGCCTCTCCGCTCCTGTTTCCTTTGGGAATAATGACACTGGCCCACCTTGCTAGAGGGGCCTGAGGTTGAATTAGCCACTGTCTGTGCAGTTGCCGCTCGGCAAGAGCCGCACCATTCAGACAGTCTGTTTCCAAGCCGTGATTGTACAAATGCTCGTAGGCTGATAACACACACAGGGCCCCGCGCCAACCAGCTCTACTGCTCCCTTTATTGCCTTAAAAATAGGTGGCCAGTTAATTACCTGCCCTACCCTCCTCCCCGGGCACCACTTGGGCTCCGGCTTTCGGAGCGAAGTCACTGTGCAGGGGTGGCCAGGCCTTGCGCTGAGAGGAGCAGTGAGCCCGCTCCCCCCCGCTATCCGCTCACGTCTGCAGCGGAGGGAGGCGCCGGTCAAAGCTGGAGGACCCGCGGGGGCCAGGACTGCGGACAGTGCCTGCAGCCTGAGGCCCCTGCACGTGCAGGATCGGCTCGGGAGCGCTGCCAGCAAGCGGGGCGGGGACCGGAGACCCGCCCCGGCATGGAGCAGCTTCTGAGCGCACAGAGCTGGTGCGGCGCCCTCCGCCCGCGGGGGGCGCACTTGCGCTTGCGAGAGTGTCAGGGCGGGAAGCGTAGCCGAGCGGCGTCCCACCCCTCTAGGCACCGTGGGGTAATGGGCAGAGACTCTTGTCTGTCATGGGGAGAGGCGGGACCCGACCGGCGATCCGCGGTGCGATTGGCGCACAGAGCCGTCCGTTCCGCCGGGGCGGGCTGACGAATTCCGGGAGGCCCTCTCAGGTGAGGCGCCGAGGCTGCTCCCTGCCCTTAATGGCGGCGGAATGGAGAGCAGCGAGCCGGGCGCGGGCGGGCTCCTGCAGCAGATCCTGAGCCTGCGCCTTGTGCCGCGGGTGGACAATGGCACCCTGTTCACCACCCCGCTGGTCAGCTTCCCAGGTACCGGGCTGGCCCCGCCCCGCCCCTTTCCGGGACCCCGACGCCCTTCCGCGTCCCCTCCGGGACCTGGCTCCCGGCCCCGCCCCTTTCCGGGACCCCGACCCGGTCCATTCTCCGGCCCCATCCTTCGGGACCGCAGACCCGCCCCCGCTTCATTTTCTGAGCCCGTCCCTGCGGGACCCTGAGCTCGCCCCAAGTTCCGGGAAGCCGGCCGCCGCCGCTCCCGCCCCGTCCGTTCCCCGGCGCCGGTCCCAGCCCCGCCTTTCAGGACAGCCTCCAGCTGCGCCCACATCCGCCCCTTCTCCCCCGGGACCGATTCCGCCGCCGCCCCCCCCCCCCCTTCCTTCATCAGTCTGTGTGTTCTGGTCACATTCTCTGTCTGAACTGAGCAGTGCCAGGCTCTGGAATCACAGTTTTCAGTGCTTGGCTCCAAGCCCCCCTGCCGTCTGTCCTTTAAGAAAGGGTGACCAGAACTGAGCAAATCTAATTGTGGCGGTGCTGAAACCATCAGCTAGAGCCTGCCCACAGGGCTCCTACCCTTGAGATCTCTGATTAGGTGATGGCCACACTGGGAATCTTTTGTAAAAATGTCCTATAAGTAGGTAAGGTTAGAGAACAGAATTGTGGTGTCTCTCCTAGAAAGAAGCTCATCAAATGTGTTTGCATTGCCCCTAGATTCAAGCGAAACCCTGCCAGGCCTTCAGCAAGTTTTGAAACATGGTAAATGCCTGGGAAGCAGGTGTGAGAAATGGTGGCTAAGTGTTCTTGGTGACAGTAATAGGTCAAGTGCAATCAGGCAGTGACTCCAACCTTTAAAATCAATTGATTGATTGTGTCCCACATGCACCAGCCAACAAAACCATGCTTCTATTTTAAAAGTTGTAGGTAAAAACTGCTCCCCCCCCCCGGCTAAATGAATGTGGGTACAAATAGGGGTCACTTGAATCAAAAGCTATTAGCCAGGATGGGCAGGGATGGTGTCCCTAGCCTCTGTTTGCTAGAAGCTGGGAGTAGGGGACAGGGGATGGATCACTTGATGATTACCTGTTCTGTTCATTCCCTCTGGGGCACCAGGCATTGGCCACTGTCAGAAGACAGGATACTGGGCTAGATGGACCTTTGGTCTGGCCCAGTATGGCCGTTCTTATGTGCTTAATCCTCTTTATTATTGGTCCCCTGTATGGATGGATATCTTTGGCAGTACAGTTGCTTCTCCAGTTTTCATGACATTTGACACTCCGTATAGAGAATGGCATTTAAAATAAAGGGACAAGTTTACAGTGTGAGCAAAAACAGGCTGCAGACTTACAGTGTACGTACAATATCACAGTCTGATACATACAGTCTGTGTGTAGTTTGGAGCTTTGGAGTGAAGCCTTTTCTGATTATTACAGTATTACAGTATTGCTAGTTGAAGCAAGTGTAAAAAGGGGCTGCTCTTTGGTTAATTGTTGAGAGGCTAGACGCAAGGGTAGCTTTGCTTGCATTAAAAACTACTAGGAATCTCATTACAGGTTTGGTATCACTTCAGTCACAAATGCAGGTTGTGTTTTACTGAACTTCGTTTCGTTCTAGAGAACAGTGAGAGGGAACTCGATTTTGTTTACTCAGTAGGAAGGCTTTTCTAACAGCGATCTCACTGGGGAATTTAAAAAAAAAGTCCTTGGCTATTTCTCTAACTTCTACACTTGAGACCTCGTTCGCTGCAGTATTTAAGCTGCTTTTCTACTGTGGTGCTATATTTAAATATTATATGTCTCAAGATTCAAAGATCAGAAGGGACCGTTGTGATCCTCTAGTTTAACCTCTTGTATAACACAGGCCAGAGAACACCCCCCAAATAATTCCTAGAGCAGATTTTTTTAGAAGAATATTTAATTTTGATTTAAGAATTCTGTATTATTCTGAGTGCAGAATATAGAAGTGGCAAGCTTGTTTGATTAGTAAACAAAACAAGGAGTTACAGGTAATGCATTTTGTTTGAACCAACTCTATTAAAATCGGTAAGCTGTTACGACTCCAACTGCATTAAATAATGCATTAACAAAGCAATAGATGCATCGCTGTAGTGGCAAATTCAATTCAGAGGTACAATTGATAACTTTTTTTCGAGGGAGAGTTAATTAATTTGTAGCGCTTTTGTTATTTTAAAAAGATTAAGCAAGACTTGAAAGTGCATATCCATACAGAGCTTGGTATTGTAATACAATAATAAGTAATAAGACAAAGGAGAAGTACAGCAGGAGTTCCTCATTTCAAAGGATGTTCACAATAGCAACAGTGGTTCTCAAAGATCATCATTTTAGTCCTCTGGCAGAGCTATCAGGACGCCAGTCCCTACACTCAAAAAAAAGTTTCCAGAATCTGTGGTATTAACACTTGTCACATTACAAGATTTTAAATTTCTTGCTTGGTTAACCTGAAATAACTTCTGCAGAAGTAGTGCAGGAGTCCTTGTCAGCAAGCTTACAAGTTGAGTTCTATTTCATCATGGGAAGAAAAACTCAGTCAGTTTTTCTGCCAACTTAATTTAACTGCTTCCTAATGATGCTTGAATCCAAGCTGTTGTCCTGGCTTCTGAAGTACTACACTTACACAAGAGTAAAAAGTTGCCTTCTGTTTCTAGGCATCCTTATTGCTCAGGTTCAGAGGCAGCTATTATCTAGAAGAACAGGTGCAGAGCAGGTTTCAGAGTAGCAGCCGTGTTAGTCTGTATCTGCAAAAAGAAAAGGAGTACTTGTGGCACCTTAGAGACTAACAAATTTATTTGAGCATAAGGTTTTGTGAGCTACAGCTCACTTCATCAGAGCAATAGTTGTCAAAGGATCAAAACAAATTGCAAGTAATAGCATAGATTGCATATTTATACCTGCCTCTGGAAATTTCCACTACGTGCATCCGACGAAGTGGGTATTCACCCACGAAAGCTTATGCTCCAATACCTCTGTTAGTCTATAAGGTGCCACAGGACTCTTTGCTGCTTTTATAAATTTCTTTATTACTGTACTCTGCTGTTTGACTCAAGGATGTGGTTTTCAAACAGCCCATTAGTGTTGGAAATCCAAGCTGTTAACTAATTTTCCAGCAGAAATCTAGCAGATAAATAACACAGGATCTTTATGCCATGGCACTTAGGTTTTTTTTTCCTCTCGGGGTCAGTACTAGAATTTTTTTTAAATACTCAAATAAGATTTTAAGGGTGCCCTAGCACCAAAACTTGCTTCCATGTTGACTGTCTGGGTGAATCCATCTCCTATTTAGTCAGTTTACAAATACAACTTTTCCTTAATTGCCAGTCCTGCAAACTCAGCTGGGGATATGCAGGTCAATATGGCTTCTATCTGGCTTGTGCATCATCACTAGGGCCCTAAATAATTCCGTCCATTTTGGTCAATTTCATGGTCATAGGATTTTGCAGGGGGAACAAGGTTATTGTAGGGCATGTTGCAGTACTCCTTCCCTTACTTCTACACTGCTGTTGGTTGTGACACTGCCTTCAGAGCTGAGCAGCTGGAGAGCGGTGGCTGCTGGCCGGGAGCCCAGCTCTGAAGGCAGAACCGCCGCCAGCAGCAGCACAGAAGTAAGGATGGCCTGGTCTGGTATTGCCACCTTTACTTCTGCAGAGCTGGGCCCTCAGTCAGCAGGCGCCGCGCTCTGACCGCCCAGCTCTGAAGGCAGCAGCACATAAGAAGGGGTGGCATGGTATGGTATTGCTATCCTTAGTTCTGCGCTGCTGCTGGCGGGGCGCTGCCTTCAGAGCTGGGTGCCTGGCCAACAGCTGCCACTCTCCAGTTGCCCAGCTGTGAAGGCAGCACAGAAATAAGGGTGGCAATACCGGGAGCCCCCTAAAATAACCTTGTAACCCCCCTGCAACTTCCTTTTGGGTCAGGGACCCCAACTTGAGAAAAACTGGCCTCCCCTGTGAAATCTGTATAGTATGGGGTAAAAGCAAACAAAAGACCAGATTTTGCAGTCCGTGACACATTTTTCATGGCCATGAATTTTGTAGGGCCCTAATCATCACCAATAACAAAAGCAACAGGTCACATCCTGCCTGCAAGGGTAGCTCTAGCCCTTGTCCTGAATGGGGTTGCATGAGTGTAAATGAGGGCAGAATTTGGCCCTGCAGTTGTTCCACTCTGCACCAGCCAGCATAGAATCCAGCAGTAGTTGTGTTGACTCATTGGAATAAAAAGCAGTCAATCATGTTATTGTCACAAAACTGAGCAAGTCTGACTATACTGTGGGGAGCAATTTTCCTGCTAAGGAGGTGCTACCATTCTTATTCAGTGTCACTTTCAAGCTAGATCATGGTGTGCAATGCATAGTCATATCCCTTGGCCATGCTAAAGAAATTGCTCTCTTGATCTCTTCCTTACCTTCCCCCAACTCCACTAAGAAGGCTCATTTTCTGACAGCGATGCAGACCAGTGCAGTATTCTGTCTAGTTACTGCTTTTTCAGGTTCCTATTCCAAAACAATTTGGTGTTCCTTTGATCTCCCTCCAGCATGGAATAAGTTTTGGTAGCATGAAGAGATTCAGAGAATTGTGCCTGTATCTTGGCTGCTATAATAAACAAATGATCAGATTGTAGACGCTCAAGGGATTATTACAGGGCTGTTTACACTTGTGATACATCAATTCCAAAACTACAATGTAACTTTCAAATTGTTCTGAAGTTAGGGCAGGCATTTGTAATGGCCGAATGTCGTCTTAGCATTGCCATTCCCAAATCCGAGCAAACTTCTGTAGCTGCGTGTAGTGAGGTCACAGCTTGGTCCCTTACATCATGGACACTCTTAGGGTACATGGTCTATATCTTTAGAGCAGGAACTTTGTCATCCTGTGTGTTTGTACAGCACCTAGCACAGTGGGAGCCCAATCCTGATAGGAGCCTGTTAGGGTTCCCTCCCCATTTTGAACTTTAAGGTACAGATGTGGGGACCCACATGAAAGACCCCCTAAGCTTATTTTTACTAGCTGAGGTTAAAAACTTTTT